TAATTTCTTTCTATTTTTAGTAGAGATGGGATCTCGCTCTTGCTCAGGCTGGTTTCGAACTCCTGAGCTCAAACAATCCACCCGCCTCAGCCTCCCAGAGTGCTAGGATTATAGGCGTGAGCCACCACGCCCGGCCGCTTTTTTCCAGTTTTTCTTAATTAATACATCCATTATTATCTTTTAAAGTTGGTACACATTAAATTTAACTTGCCACATATATCAAGACTAAAATTGTAAAGTATGTGAAATTATGTTTTACCTTTAATGGTATAAATATTATTTGAATATTTTTCTCTTGTTGGTTTTGCAATACACAGAACAGTTTCATCATAATATTATAATTAAGTGAGAAATTAAGGGCAGCAAAACTTAACAATAACATATATAGTATGCTACCATTATAGTACTCTACTTTAAAATATATGCGTTCTACTTCTTAATATGAGCTGATTTTTTAATAGGCTTTTCATTTTACTGATTATTCTCATTTACCAAATATCCTAAAGTGCTATCCTACTTTTTAGGCTTACATATTACTTTGGCTTAGCGAATGAGATGTTTGGAATTATGAAGGTTGGGAGACACAAAAAGTTCAGATCGTTAAGTTCTAATAATTTTCAAAGTAATTTGATTACTTTAAGAGTAATTAATAGACATACTTCCTTTTTTACAGACAGTTTAGGTATGTTTTTTCACTTGTTTCAGCTCATTAAAAGTTACCCTTTCCGTCAGTATTTCTCTCTTAGGATTTTTTCTTGGTTTTTCATTCTATACTACTATTACAGAATTGAGTAGTTATGTTGAGAACTTACAGAATATTTTTATATTACATACGGTTTTGTCATTTTTTATAAGCCAGAATTCATCATAACAATATCTATTATGGCATGGAATGGTATCTTTTATGGTACCATGTGTTAAATGAAAATTTTCTTCAGAATATAAGATGAACTCTTAACAGAGGTCTGGGCATCTGTCTCCCTTCAGATTTGAGACTTTCCTTAGATGTATGACAAGGAATGTGACTTCTTGACCAATATAACATAACTTTGTGCAATATAATTTGAGTCAAAGGATCCTTCCATTAAGTGGTATTCTGGCTTTCAGAAAATCACCAGTATTGTTGTTATTGATTCCTTGATCAGCAGTATTCAAAACACCTGCTTTTTCTGTACCTTGTCAGTCATTCTTAATATTAACCCAAACTTGTATTTCAGTTAATTTGTTTCTTGTGTATTACAAAGCGAGGTAATATTTCTTACCATTTTGGGATGGTGTAGGTGTGTATTTGGGGGATGGAAGCCTTATTTCAGATTCTTTAAATTCTTTCATTATTGTCTTAAAAGATTGTCATAAAATATTAGTTGGTTTAATTTCTCCTTAATGCAGAAATACAATGGAGAGACCCACTCTTAACTTCAGTTCCCCAAGGAATTTAACCGGC